TATATCGGCAAATCTACTGAATTTGAAATTTTTTATCAAAACAAAGTGTGAGTGTTACAAAATTTGGTTATTTTTATTTGCTTATATGAATTTAGAGTTTGTTTTTAATAGAAAAACTCATAAAATTTGAAATTTTTGGGCCAAAAAATTAAGTCTGAAATGTGTTTTTTTCTATGAATGCATTTTTCAGCAGTTTTAATTAAAACAAAGCAGAAAAACGACTAAATTAAGTCTGAAATACGTTATTATTTTAGTCTAATAATTTTTTGTGTCTTTTTTTACAAACATGTTTTTAGTATTAAATCCGGGTAATATAAGAAAGTTTAAAATTCATCAACGAAACAACCCACTGAAAATTACTATACGGTCCTGATAAAACCGATGATTCATTTCAATTGTCCGTTTTCGGTATTGCAAACCTAATTGGAACAGAAGTTAATTAACAATTTTGAATATAAAAATAACGAAATGTTTTTTATCAAATTAATTGCGCGTAATTGGTGACAAAAATTCCATATAATTCCACCGACTTATTAGTTTAATTAGGCAAGAATTTTTGCAAACGAAAAATCGACACACAAACCCACTCTCCCATTTGACAATAAAAACTTTATAGTCGACTTGATGGGTTATTCCAAGTCACAACAAGACTTCCTCGATTCTAAAATCCCACTGATAAGCCACTATGTTAGACTATAACCTCGCGAGGGTTCAATAAATGTGTCCAAATCGCAATTTCATGTTTATTTTTGAAATTGCAACCGGAATATTTGTCTAGCAATAAATCAAAAAAAAAATTTTTTTTTAAAGAAAACGCAACTTAAAACATTGTTGCAAGTCGACAACCTCCACCTCTGACCTCTCTTCCCGTCAAATACGCATAATTTTTATTCACTGCTTTTTGTATTTTCAAAACTAAAACAAATTTCATAATTGGAGCAAAATCTGATAAAACTGACCTCAAAATAACGTAATTTTTATCATCAAGAGGTCAAAAACGATTTTCTCACACTAATTCACATCAATCTTATCACTAATTAATAAATTTTGACATGTTTACAGATTGCAACTAATTCAACGAGAGTTTCCGGCCAATTAAATTAATCTAATTAAATCAATTTTCTAATCAAAAATAATTTGGGGGACTTACCAATTGAACACAATTACAATTTTAAGCAATTTTAAAGCATGAAATATTGAAAAGTGCTAATTTTACGCGATATACAGGGTGAGTCTCTGAAATCGAAAATTTGTTTTTGGAGTCGTAAAAATCCACCCTATACAAAATCAGGTAAATCAAATTTTGAATTTGAAGCTAAAAATTTACTAGATTTAAGCGTCAAAGCTGAAAAATCGCTAAATGGATGCGGAAATGCCCATTTTCAGCGTTTTTCAACGAGAAATTTACTAAAATTCAGTGGTTTTTGCCAAAACAACAGAAAAATTCATACGTTAAATTATTTTTACTTCTTACATTAGATTTTGGGCGTTTTTCATTTGAAAACTTACTAAATCTAGAATATTTTTTCGAACTCAACAAGAAAATTGTTAAATTAAGTGTAAAATGAATTATTTTCTATAAATTCTAGAGAATTTTTCAGCAAAAAACGTGAGCAGTTTTGACAAAATAAAACAAAAAGTTGTAAATCAATGTGGAAATGTCGTTTTTCGTCTGTTTTTAAATAAATTTAACAAGAAAACTAAAAAAAAAACAAGGTAAAATGTGTTATTTCCGTTTACTTAGAGTTTGTTTTTATGAATTTAGAACGTTTTTCATAATATTTTTTCGAAATGAAGTA